TAAACTTTATGTAGTAGTTTTTTATTTCAAAAAATTTTCAATAGCCGAGATTAACTATGAAATCCACAACAAAGAGCTTCTTATAATTGTGGATTCATTTCAAAAATAGCATCATCATCTAGAAGGTGCTTCTAATTCAATCACCATATGTACGAATCACAAGAATCTAGAGTATTTCATGTCAACACATGTTTTAAATAGTCGCCAAGACCGTTGGAGCATGTCCTTATCCAAATTTGATTTCAAGATTACATATCGACCTGAAAAACAACAAGGTTTGTCAATCACCCTTTTTAGACGTTCTTATCTAGTACCAAAAGAGGGAGATGCATCTTTTGATTAACAAAGAATAATTCTCTTGAAGCCAAAGCATTTTCATCTTCAAATATTGAAATCAACGTTGACTATTGATTCGATCCTTGTGAAACAAATCCAATCAAGTATGTCTTCTAATCTTCTTGTTCATAATATCAAGAATCCTTCTTTTAAGTCCCAAGATATTTCTAAGTTTGAGTTCAAAAACAACCTACTCTATTTTGAAGGTCAATTATATGTTCCAAAAAGAAAAGCACAATTACATATTCTTCAAGCACATCATGACTTTCTAGCAACATGATATTTTGGATAGAATAAGGCTTTGGAGCTTATATCCAGAGATTTTTGGTGGCCACAAATATGAAAGGGTGTAAAAGACTTTGTTCAGTCATGCAACATTTGTTCAAGATCAAAAACTCCTTGTCATCGACCTTATGGACTTTTTCAACCATTATCTATTCTAAAACAACTATTGTCTTCTCTTTCTATGGATTTCATCATGGATCTTCCAATCTCAGGTTCTTATGACTTTATATTTATGATAGTAGATCGTTTTATGAAGATGGCATATTTTGTACTATGTATAAAATCTATCACAAGTAAAGAAATAGCTAAGCTCTTTCTTAACAACATCTATCGCTATCATGGATTACCTAAAGATATTACATTGGATAGGAGAACTCAATTTGTATCAAGTTTTTGGCTGATTCTTTTCAAGATTCTAAAAGTAGATATAAAACTATTTTGGATATTCCATCCTCAAACTGATGGACAAACAAAGCATGTTAATCAAGTTTTGAAGCAGTATTTAAGATGTACCATCAACTACCATCAAGATGATTAAAAAACTCTTTTACCATCGATAAAGTTTGCTTATAATAACATGGTACATTCTTCTACAAAATAAATATTTTTTTTTGCCAATTATAGTTATCATCCATGACTTGATACTTTTGACTTTTCAAAAGCTTATAATCCTATATCAAAAGATTTGACAAATCATTTATCAAAGCTATATATAACAATGAAGGCGTAGTTAAAAAAAGCTCCAAAACAAGAAAAGATCAATGTGAATGTCTATCGAAAGGAACAACTACTATTCTACACAGGTGACAAGGTATGGTTACTTTGTCGCAATATCAAGACTACTCATCCTTATGACAAGTTGGACAATTATAGACTTAGACCATTTCCTATTTCTGCACAAATTAATCTAGTTGCATATCGTTTACACCTACCAAAGTTAATAAAAATCCATCATATATTCCATATGTCTCTTCTTGAACCGTACAAGACAATGGACATATCAAGAAGAAGACAAGCTCCACCTCCTCTTATAGAAGTGGACAATAATAAAGAGTTTGAAGTGAAAGAAGTTCTAGATTCTATTATTTGATCATTATTGAGGCATTTATAACCTCTTTCAAATATAATATTTGAAACACCATCAAGAGTTGTTTCTACCTCTAATAAAATTACCAAACATTGGGAGTCTCTTCCAAGCTTGTGATACCAAACGCGTTGTATCTCTCAATCTATTTGAGAAAAAATATGTCGTTCTTGAGGATCTTCATCTTGATTGTATTGCCTTAAAGGTTGTGACAATCGTAATGTCTCATCCGACAGATCGGCAAACAAAGGTTCTTCAGTCAAATCCGCTAGTTGTTCATTCTTGCCCTGGTATGGGATACTATCAATGGTTGAGAGGCCCTATCAACCATCTTCGAAGGGAACAAAGATTTCAGTATGTGGTGAATATAATTTGTCACATCATAAAAATTTTCAACATATGATGTCATGGACATACGCATGTAATGTCATGGATATTTCCATGTAAGCAAGTAATTACTTGTATAAATAGGTAGAAGTAAGTAGAAGTAGGTAAAAACAAGTTAATTCTATAATATCTTCTATGGAAGCTTTCTAGAAGCTTTATAGATGCTACTTTGACTTTATAGGTGTTTTTAATTGACTTTTTGGATTAGAAATATGCTTAACAAGTTGGCCATGTGCTATACATGTTGTTAGCTTGAAGACCAAGCTAACCATATAGCCTACACGTAAAAAAACTTGCCTTGTAAGTCAAGGCATGTGTCCTATAAAGTCAACACATATTGGAGATCGTATAGAACATCGTCACATTGTCGTGTTCTATGATTTGCTATTTGGGAATACATCAGGTATCTAACTTTAGAGATTTTAGCTTAAACATTTATATGTATCTTATCTTAGCTTTCAAAACCCCTTTATTTTAAATAAAATATAAGATATAGCAAAATCCCTTCAAAACATATTTTTTCCGCGAAGGATTTTTTCTTCTCAAACTTTAGAAATTCATTACTCTTGATCTAACCATTTAGTTTGTGTCAAATTTATATAGTAGGTAAAATTTACCTTTAAGTTTTACTACAAAAAATCCAACCACAAATTCACTCCCAATCTTTTGGCATCTAAGAAATCATAGTAGATGCTCTAAACCCTAATTTACAAGCACCTAAGCACTATTTTCTTAATATCTCAAGAATATAATACTCAAATGTCATCAAACTTATGTACAAAATTTATTAATATGAATATTCACATTCGTTGAAATTTTAAGTCAAAACCTTGTCAAACTACTCAAAATATAACTCAAGATGCAACCACTAGTAAATCGGGTCACTTACTACCCTTAGATTGAATATACTGACTTCAAAATCCAATATCTCCTTCATTCCAACTTGGAATCCAGCAAGTAGTATGCAAAAAGTGTAGCCACAAAAGTGCTCTCTCCAGCCGCGGTCATCGATTCTCAATTTCCTTCCATACACATGCGTTATATTAAAAAAAGTGACAATAGCTCCTAAATCAACACCTTAACTTTGAGTGCCTCTATCTCCTTCATATAAACTCCAAATCATATAAGATTTATACTAAAACCATAGCCAAAAACTTGAGCACTTTAATCTTAGTCTTCAAAGTTCAAATGGTCCCGAAAAACTAATCCTAATCTCTAATATGGCCTTGGGTAGCCTCCTTGAAGTCCATTGTTCATGATTTTTGACCAATAGGAATTGAGATTTTCATTGTCCATCTCCATTTATCTATATGGATGCCCTGAACTCTCTTTTTGCTACCAAAATCCCTCTTCAATTCTTTTCTTTACAAGATTTACTCAATATATGCCCTAAACACCAAATTAAAGAACTAAAACAAGGGTCACCAATGTCTAATAAAGGTGATCCTATATGTTTAAAGTTACTACCAAAAAAATCAATCTCAAAAGCCAGTATCAAAAGAAAATAAAGTTATATAAATTCTAATAATAATCCTTTTAAATAACTTCCTTTTAAAGTAGTAATTTAATCATACTCTTCAACCAACTAAAATCCAGTAACATAGCTCTCACCATGTTGTTAAGTAAATTGTACATTAAATACATATTCACATTATTTTCACATGGTAGCCAAACCACAACACGACAACATAGCCCCTATTTAGATAATATATATAAAGACACAAGTGAAGCCCTCTTCATTCTTGTCAACTCTTTTCTTGCTTCTACTCTAATTTCAAGAGTCTCAAGTTTTATTATCTTTTGGCAATAAGCCTTTCTTATTTCTTTTAATATATGTACTTTCTTATTTCTATTTTTTCACTCTTTCTTTGACAAGGATTTCATTGGTTTATGCATCATCTTTTAGTTCATATCCTTGACACATCCTTCTTTTCTTTTTTATGGATTATGTTGCAACAATATGAACTCTCCACATAGATTGGTCACAATTAGACACCTTCCTATGCTTTATGAACGACCTTCAAAGTATTATAGAAAAATATTGAGCTGGAGTTCACTAAAAACAACTTCAATCATGAAGTTTTGCAGCGTGTGTCTTCATTGCTCTTAGACATTTCAAGGTGCTTTTAAGGCCCTATGAATTCTAGTTTTGTTTCACTTTTTGTGAAAACTTTTGATAAAAACAACAAAACATGCAGCCAGCCTATTACAAAGGGAGTTTGTCTCCTCTTGTCTATCCCCTTGGTTTGTCCCCCCCTCTCCTTAGATGTTTTATATAAGAGATTGTTTTAGCATTATATAGACCCAAATGTGAATGTTTTATTCTTAATAAAAAAGAAAGAAAAGACAAAGTAAGGAGCTTATCATGGTTTGATGAATTTAAAGTAAAAAGAACACTAAACACCAGATGCAACTTCATGAAATTTGACAGTTCCACTCAAGTAAATCAGTAAAGAGATTAAACATTACCAATTCATTCATTACCAAGAAGGCTTCGTGGGTTAAATTACACTCCACCGGAGAAGTCATGCCCCATTTTTCCAACAGTAGAACTGAGAAAAACTTTTTGCTTTATCCACCAAAGAGTATTATCAAACTTTCGGCCAAATGGCAGCAAATGGGAGCAAACAGAGTGTGAACGAGAATCGCCACTCGCCAGCTGGACTGTGAAAATCCAGCTGACGTGGTCCAGGGGGTGAAGAAAGCGCACCATCGGACGGCTTGAGTATTTTGGAATCCAACGGTCACTAGGTGGCGAGGATCGGAGGGTGCAAATTCGTCGCGATGTAAGGCCCACAGCGTCGGCAACACTTGGCAGCCGCCTTCGCGGCTCATGGGCTTCGTTGCACGCGAGCTCGACAGACCAACATCGCCTTTTCCCCTTCTCATTTGGCCTTAAATTCTTGCGTACCACCTCTGGTTTCGACATTCTTAGTGCCCATGTTGTGAACTGAATTCGTCGAATACACTTGGTTTTCAAAGGAGATTATCGTAAAACAAGCTTGTAGCAGGACTGTTCTAGTGGACGTTTAGGTGGTGACAGAGAGAGATATTGGTTTTTCTGAAGATGGCAGTGTCTACAATGTTGAGCCGAGCTAGTTGTCTTGGAACCATTGCAGGGGTTCCGTCGTTGAAAGTTTCGAAGCTGAAGAATGCCAACGCTGCGTTCCTCGGAGGACTGAGGGTGAAGACCCCGGGGTTGAACCAGGAACGACGAAACTTGGTCGTATTTGCGAAGCAAACTGATGACACTCCACTTGTAAGTCTGACGTTTTACTGCTTGAAACACGAATGTGTCATGGGTTTTAGGACTTTGGAACTTGTTGTGATGGGTGGCATTTGCTGTGGGTGAGATAGTTGCTGCGATTTGGGGAGTGGAAACAGTTGATGATAAGTCTGTGTGAATTTCTGCAGCCCGGAACGAAGCGTGAGCCAGAGAAGAAGGATGATCCGCTCCGTATCTTCGAGGGCTCTCCCGTGGAGAAATTCTACCGCCCCGAGGAGGAGCGCCGCCCAGAGGACGGTAACACCAGCACCAGTAGCCTGATGAAGTTCGACGGCCCCGCGCCCGAAACCATCAACAGCCGTCTGGCCATGCTCGGCATTACCTGGGCCTTGGTCGCGGAAATCCTGACTGGGCAGAGTGTGTGGGAGCAAGTCACCGAGGGCCGGGGCTTGATCTGGTTCCTGTTTGTGGCGCCCATCATCATCGGAGCCACATTGATCCCCATGTACAACAAGGAATCTCCTGACAGCCGAGAGAGCGGCCCCTTCAACGCGCAAAACGAGCGATGGAACGGGCGCGCGGCCATGATCGGGCTCGTGGCGCTGCTCGTCACTGAGAACATCTACCTCAAGGGCCCGTTGCTCGGCTTCATCCACAACTCTCTCAACTTGTAAGCTACGCGTTTGTAACAAACCCCAGTGTGTATATTTCCGTAGCGAGTGTACATGAAGCGAAACCCCATGACCAAATACTGTACTCAATATCTAGAAGTATGATATTTTAGAAACTAGCACGTTGCGGAGACGAGCCTGAACCTCAAATTGTGCAACACCTGCTAGCAGATTTACAATAAGAAAGTGTAACACTTGAACTCCTCCATCTGAGTTGCTTGAAGCGTTGTGTCTGTGAATGCATCGACATTCTGGTACATATAGTTGAGATGACTTTGAATGTACAGTAAACAACAGATTCTGTGTGATAATACTCTTGTTCGGTGTGGTGGATGTCGCCATAACTAGCTCTATTGCTTTGACATGCATGTTTAAAATCGGATGTTGTTCTCAGCGTTTTCTTCATGATGAGATGTTTACAGATTTTTTTTTTTTTCATTTACTGGATTAATTAGTACATGAGGCACTCTAGTTTAGCATGTTTGTGTGCGATAATGGTGACAACTCTTAGTACTGAACGTTTCATTAATATCTTGTAGTTGGTACTGTTCAGTTCAGCTCAATTCGTTCTAGTTTGGGTTCTTTCATTCCTTGGAGTAGCTAAATCCAACTTGTGTGATCTGTTGGTGAACAATTAGTTTCGTCTTCTTGGCTATTTATGTGGAAAAGATTTTATTCATCCATCCACAACTTGTGGATAATCTTTCTTTACAAGTATTTTAGATAATACTATGACTATATGTAACAGTGTTTATTAAAATAAATGTTAAATTTGCAAACTTCCAAAATTGAGCATTTAAAAAAGTTACATCAAATCAAAAAGTTTAAAAATAATGTAAAATTGTAAAAAATGGAATATAGCAATATTTTATTTGTTTGTATAAAATTTTCACTGCAAGTACATGTGAATGAATGAAAAATGATTATTTATACAAACAATTATTCTATCAAATAAAAAAAGATCTTTACTAAAACCTGATACCTTCAGATGATAAAAGTGTTAAAACCTCACTCTATCAAAACTTAAATCTTTTGTTGTTCTAGAACACATTTTATGATTTATAAAACTATATAAAAAATAAAGTGTTTATATTCTATTTTTTTAATATGAAACATTTGCAAAAGAAATAATTTAGGCAATATAAAAATCTAACCATTGCTACCAAAAAAAACCACAAAATAATTCATTGATTTACAAAACAAATAAACACTAAGATAAAAAGTTTGTTTTTGTTTTTGTTTTTGTTTTTTTTGTTTTTTAAATATTAAAGGATGATCAAATTCTTTTGGATATTTTTTCAATTTTTCAGCATTACATAAAAATTTCATACAAAAATTAAAAATTCATGTTAATATTTTTATTCAATCATACATTTAATCTCTTAGTTCTTTTGAAGGATAATGATAATCTGATGGCATTGAAGTAAGTAGCATTCAACAATTCTACAAAAGATAAAAAAAAGCTTCATAATGTACATATATTTTTAACTTTTTTCCTAAAGCTTTATATTCAATGGAAAATAAATAAATAAATGGTGCATATATGCACATATGTCTCAATAAATTTTGGGAATTTATGGGTGGACATCCCCAGTGTCATGCACCCCCACATGCACATTATAAAACTCTTATTTACATTAAAAAGATTTAGGATAAATTTACAATAATTTTTTTAAAAAAAATAAAATCAATAAACTTTTTAAAGATGATTAAACGATTACATAAGATGTATAATGGAATATTATTAAATTCATTTTGAAAAAAGAAAAAAAATGTAAGTCATTACATAAAAATATTTTATTGTAAATTTACCATACAACTTTTTTGTGTGAATAAAAGTTTGATTGTGTGTTTGCAAGGGGTGTTCACATGCTTGAAGAGAGTGTGCACCTAGCCATTCTCTAAATTTTTAATATATCTATTTACCATAAAAATAACATATATATTTTTTGATAAAATTTAATTGTTATCAACAATCTATTTAAAAAATATTTCCAAAAGTTAGCAAAGAATCAGAATGTACTGATTGTCAAAGATGTAGTTTTTGTAAAATTTGCGATAAAAACTATCAATGTTGCAAATAAACCTGGAGTTGGAGACATTAAGGCTCTAACTACAAAAACAATTCTTAAAAAAGAGATATAGATGTGGTACAAAAATAATATTGTTTACACTTGTTATTTCAATAGTGTTGTGTAAACTTCTGTTTTTTTAAGATAATCAATTGAATGATATGATTTTATCGTTTTTAGATGCATTTACACAATCCATCAACAACCCAATTACAGAAGTATAACTTTAATTAATGATATTGACACCATGCAAGAATAATTTACATCTTAACTTTTGAAAATTAAATATATACTTTTTTATGATAAACACAAATTTGATGACAAAGGAAATAAACATAATAATTTTTATTGTCACATGTTTAATTATATGTTTTTATATGATAGTCTCTTAGATTAAAGATAATTGATCAAATTAAATCAATGGAGTCTTATTCTAAGGCATTCAAAGTTCTAAAGTATATTAGTAGAAATCTTCTTTTTATTGAGATCCTTGCTAATCTATAAAAAAATATTTGAAAAAATAATATTAGTAGATAGGTCTCTTATTTATTGATAGGCTTTAGACGTTGATTAAAACTTTCAATTGATTATCACTCTTGTGTAAAAATATTTACTTGTTTATAAAACAAATTCTTTGGAGCTCATTGCTTCCAAAGATAAAAACATTCTTATCCTTGCCATTGTGGTTGCTAATTATAATTTCAATTAAAGGGAATTAAGATGTGTATAAAGACCCAAAAACCATGTTAAATTTCAATGCAACTTCGTAAAGCAAAGAGGTTAATCCCTCGGTATTCCGAAATTCAACCTTATAAAAAAAAACTTAATTACCAAAAACTGGTCACTTGAACCGCGAACTCAACGTCGCTACCGACAGTCGGTAGAAGTCGGAGATAAATCGCAAGTGCTCGACGTAATGGCACCTGGCGGTGGGGATGAGGCGGTTACCGAAGCAAAGCAAAGCAAAGCAGAATCTGAATGCGGGAAAACCACGCTCACATCACAACAACGACAACAACCAATACAACCACCACCACCACGAAGACGACGACGACGACACTGCATCCGGCGCCGAGGATCCTCCATAGACGACACGTTGAGCAACAACAGGAAGCGAAAGGTGCGGCGTGCCAGCGCATCTGCTACACCGGCGGGGAAAATGATCCAAGACCCTTTCTTGCTGAGCCGGTCATACACCCGCACACTTGCAGTTCCACTGTGACCCACATCTTCGAATGGCTTCTACACCTGCCGGTGCACTCCTCCTGTGTGTTGTCATCAACGTGGCGCTTCGAGAGCGAGTCCTGCTCCCTTTTGAGGCCTATATAGCTCTGTCGGACTGATCGCCGGTGTCTGTGCTTACTCAGTTATTGATGATTGTGCTGATCAGGTCCTGTCAGTTGCCTTCCCTTTGCATCCCAAGCTCGTGATCGCAAATCTGTGGTGCTTGGTTTTCTGATCACTCAGCAGCTGTCACTAGCTCCTTGTTGTCAGATTTTGTTGTCGTTTTGGTGTGTATTTTTCTTTTTATCACCATGGATACTATCACAGCTCAGGCAGCTGGCTCAGCTGACCCTCCCTGCTGCCCGTTTGTGCCCCTCTGCTTCGAGTGCGGCACTCGCCGAAACCCCTGCCACTGCCGGATTCTGGGCCCAACTGTAGGATTTGTTGCCTTTGCTGTGGCTGCAGTGGTGGAGTGGCCCGTTGGTGCATTTGTTTATTGCTTCCGTCACTTGAAGGGACGGCGAATCATGGCTCATCCCGCCGCTGTTGTCTACCCCCGTGTTTCCGCCTGCTTCCCGATCTAAGCTCAATTTCCTGCTCTGGAGTTTGGAGACATTCGTGGACTGTGTTATGTACATTTCGTCCGGAGGTAGATGACTTGGGTTTTGTCGACTTGAGGATATGAAGGACTCGTATTGTGATGTTGGAGTTTTGAAGCAGTCTCTGAAGCTCTGCGCTTGTATAGCGATTCCTCGGAGATCTGATATGGAATACCATATTGTAGAATTAGTACTGAACTGTGACTGAGTCTCATTTGACTCATCTGTAATAAACTGAATTAAACAAAAAAAAATTGGTATTCTGATTCTCATTGTTTTGTCCAATGAATCGGAATTTTCCTTGATGACTTTAAGTTCGATTGTCGATCTTGATCTTGTTCGATGCTGGTCTTGACTGAATGCTTTCTGTGAGAACTATATCTGCAATAGCCCGTGTAAATAATCCGTGATAGATGCTGTGTGCTTTAGTAACATGGTCGCAAGCCTTTTTCCAGGGACATAAAATACTGCGTACGCAAAAGTAATGAGTCACAACCATCATGTTATCAAATAGATGAGGTACAGTTTAGTTGTGACTTGTTGACAATGAAATCTTACAGGTAAATCCGAAAACTTTCACGCGAGGTGCTCAAACTAGAACAAGATTGCACAATCAGAGAAGATGAAAAAGCTGAAGAATTGAAATTACAATATGAAATTGTCCAGTTCACAACGATAATGACATGAGTCATTGGTCCCACATATAAACAAGTATTCACCCCTTTAACTAATTGAGTTCACTCCCACATCAGCACTTTATTTAAGTTGCCTCGTTGTAAAACACATCTACATATCGTTGGATCTCAATTACCGCTATTACGCCCACAGAATGCCCCTACATCATTGTGAATACAAAAAGTACAACGTTTACAATGACTTCATTACTTCATTTCACACACATTTTGTTTTCTTCTAAATCCGTCGTGTACCTCACAGAACGAAACTCGTGAAAATCAAGTTGAACACCAATAGGGATACCACATGCCTAACTCGAACTTCTAAATGTAAGGACTTGCCTACATTACATTCACACCAGCCACTCCAAGTTGATATGTCTCATCCTGCACTATTGGTATGATGAGAAAGCTGATCATGAGTTAGTGTAATCTGCACATATTGTAGAAAAGAATGAACCATTGACTTGGAACGGTAAATGGCTGAAATTTGAGGATGTACGAGGCAAATCACAAATATAGTCACTTCACTTGGAAGATTCATTATAAGTAAATCAGACCAAACAAATCTATATATTCTTTTCAGAATAAATAAGAAAAAGAATCGTATATGCTTGTGAGAATGATAATTAACTGTACAGTGTTGATATCTGCTGTTTCAGAAACTGGGCGCAAAACTCAAACAAATAACTGAAACGTGAAGCTAGAACTAAGTCATTATTTTTCAATACCACACAACCATCTTCTGCTAACTCTATAATTCCTGAAACCTCTATAAGTCTGGTGTGAAGTGTAAGACGAGATTTTTGAATTTTCTCCTGGACACTACAACAAGGTGACGCTCCAGTTTCATCATTCTTCTCACTAGATATCCCCAAACGGTGCATAAATTGACTGGCTAACAAAAGTTATCAACCAGTCAATACCTCAGTCAAACAAAGCTTCACGAACAACAACCACCCGATTGAGCAGATGTATTCCCCCCACCAGTACCTCCTGAAGCGGTCCATGTGCTGTAGCCAACCTTAATGCCATACGACTGCCATTCCACCCGTCATGTCAGATGCCAAGCTCCAACTAAGAGTGAATTCAATTCAAACATTGATCTAACTTCTTTTTACTCACGCATAGTTGTTACTGACCTCTTCCATATAGTTCATGCATAACCGCTGAATTCGCTCAAGTACACTTAACGTTTGATTCTAAAATTTGTGAGCAAGCATGGATGTTATGCACACATATTCACACTACAGCTCCAGCGTGCAACCAAATAAATATTCAAAATTTAGGTGCATGCACAGAAGTCGCTCGATGTAGTCCAGTCTTGGCAGAACTAACCTCATTGGAAACATCAAAAATTCCCTCCTCAATCTTCTGATAGATCTTAGCAGCTGTGTTGATGAAAGCCTGTTACATTGACCAGATGGAATAATAAGGATATTTTCAATTGAAAGACACGGTAAAACATGATAATAAGATACTACGGTACCGAGATGCCACGTGTTTCAGCAGAAATTACTCACATCCTCAACATTTTGGGCAGTCTTCGCAGATGTCTCCATGAATACTAAACCATTTTCTTTGGCAAACTGTTCACCTTCTTCGGTACTAACAGCTCTTCTATGTGCCAGGTCGCACTTATTACCGATTAGCATGATAGTCATGTTAGAATTTGCATGTTGTCGTGCATCTTCCAACCAACTTGTAAGGTGATTGAAAGTTTCCCTCCTACAAAAACAAGTTAAGAAATTATGCACCAGCCTGCACACTGCCAACGATGTAGGTGTAAACTGTAGCAAGCATGATCTAAACAAACTAACGAAATAAATCTTGATTCAACTGAGATGATACCTGGTGATATCATACACCAACAACGCGCCAGCTGCTCCTCTGTAGTACGATCTAGTGATGGAACGGAAAGATTCTTGACCGGCCTGAATAAATTCAAGCAACATTTACAATTGTTTAAGATTCCATAAGTAAAGTAGGACGAGTTGTGAAATGTAAATACTACGTAATATTTTTTTTACTTTGGGTATACAGTTCTATACAGATAAAACTACAAACTATACAGAACTAAGGTGTGTAATCAGACTCCCGACAAAAACAGAGAAAAAAACCAAGATATGCACATACGGTATCCCAAATCTGAAGCTTGATAGGTTTGTTATCGATGGTGATCATCCGAGCCCCGAACTCCACACCAATAGTTAAATCGTGAACAGGTTGGAACCGCTTGTCAGTGAACTGCAAAAGCAGGCATGATTTTCCCACACCTGCACCATCAGACAAAAAAAATTAACGACTACAGCCTAAATCCATAATCTATGAAATGTGCACAGTATACATTGTAAAAGCAACTAAAGTAAACTGGGAACCTCACCAACCCAACAGGCACACTCTTACAATGATAAGAAAAAGGAGAAAGGAACTAAAAAAAAAAAAAAAAAAAAAAAAAAAAAAAAATGCGCCATCACTCTGGCGAGAGGTGACATGGACTCATAACGCCTTACTCTAAATTCGCATCAATTATGAATTCAATTAACTAAACTTGCGAAATGCAACTGTACATAAAGTGGTTTATAACGTTCGAAACTTCTAGCCACTTGTCAACATTGCTCTGGCTAGTACCTATACATTTTGAATTTCACATACAAACCAATGCTTAGGGGCAAAATTACTCAAGATAATTTCCTCAGAGACAAGAGAAAGGTCAAAATTCCAAAACGCCAACAAAGAACTAGTTAGAGTGACACCATCGTCAGAGCCAAGCAAGACAATGACGGCTTCGTTCGGTCTTCCTGAAATCTGATCAAGCACCTAACACTGCAGTTAGTGACTACGAAGCTACGAAAAAGGGGGAAAAAAAAAAGGAAAAAAAAAAAACCAAGTAATCTTATTTAATTAGTTTTAAAAAATAAAAATAAAAATAAAGATAGACGACATGATGAATTAGCACTTCAAACAGAACTTCGGCCGAATGCTACTCTTCGTCAAATTACTATTAAACAACACCGAACCTTGACGTAGTACAGTATACGCTTCATTAAAGTACCGTGTTCAGATTAACTATCCGAATTCCAAATTTCACACATTAAACTCAATAGCAGGGACTCGTAGGGTGAAAACAACGCTAGTGTGGACGTCACGACATCGTCATTTATTGTTGGTGCGTGAAAAATGAGACACTACATACACAACAATTACATGTCTCGGACTAATTATCGAATTTCTCCCAAAATTTAAAAATTCTGAGAAATTATCTGAAACGAGCATCTCGTCAACCCAAACGAGAAGCAACCACCAAAATGAAATGCTCCGTAGCCGGCTCGCAATATTCCTCAACCTCGCAGCCCATGGACAAGACTCCAAACTTTCCCCTCTTTAACCAAAGAAACTCTAACAAACCCCAGTAAAATCAGATCCGGATTACAACGCACAAAACCACGCACTTCCACCTTCGTTTCCACAGCGCGAAGGGAACTACATAAAAAATGAAAAAAAAACAAAAAAACAAAACAAAAACGACAGCAAACGCCCCTACACGAAAATATATATATATATAAACAGAAACTTGATCACCACTAACAACGACAGTGGACCTCATCGAAGCATCACAAACCTGTGTCTCCGATGATAATGTACTTGAACAGGTACGCATACGACATCCTTCCAACGCTCGCGCTCCTAATAAAGGGAAGGGGACGGAGGGATGAGCGCTCGCTTCCGCTTCTAATCAAAAAAGAAAGAAAACGAGAGGACCAAAAAAGCTAACGAAAGAAGCGCAGTCAGTGTGCCGGACTATCACCGATCCCCACGCCACAACAATCCCCCGTGCTCTCGCTTCCACAACACACTTCAAGCCGAGCCAGCAGACGCACTCGATAGATCGATGGATGGATGGATCGATGTGCAGGTCCGATCGGAGCGACAAATAAGCACCAACCTCTCCCTCCCTCCCTCGCTCGCGCGCTCTCTCTCTCTGAATCGTGGCACTCTACGCATCTCCCCACGCGGTGTTCCTCCGCTCGGTGGTCGGTAACTCACTCACTCGCCCGCTCGCTCCGCCTCCCTGCCGCCGCCCAACCCTGCGCCAACTCCGCCTTGCAGGGCCATGGATGGATGTTCGATAATAGATGATGAGCTTGTGGATGTGATTGTGACGGTGCGTCTGTTCTATCGCCTGATCTCCACCTCGGAGCCAGATGGACATTTCTGACCCGGCCCGCTTGACAACCTGGACACTTGAGGTGAGGTGTCACCGTTCCAGCCTTCGATTGCGAGGCCCGATCTCAGGGTAGGCGTTGGCCCTCTTTTTAAAGGTCTCGACGTCTTCGATACCCTGTATGTATTATTTTCGTATTTAAGCACGATTGGTATTTGTTATGTATATTTGGCAATGTTACGTATCTAGAGCTGTTGTTTTCTTTCCAAGTTATTACCCAAGATGGGATGGATGGATGGATGGCTTTCTGATGCATTTTTGTGGAAGTGTTGAGTCTTTCAATAAATGCTAGATGTATGATTATTGATACTATATGTTGATGTATTCACATAAATATGAACGGTTATATTTAAAAATTTTAAATGCTCTTGATAATTTCTAGAAAATATTCAAATTAAGTATATTTTTTTTTACTAATTTTATGTATTTTTAAATCTATAAAATATTTGAGAAAATATATTGTTAAATTTATAATATAAAATCTAAGGTTTCAAATATAAACTTAGTTATTATTCGTATTAAATCTATTATATTTTAAGAATAGACAAATATAATAAAAACCATAAGATGTTGTAAAATATATTTTCACAATGTACATATGTAATCTTATAAATACAAACAAGTAATAAAAAAGAAATAATAAAATTTGACCTTAGATGTTTCTAGTATTTACACCAAAATATATAATTATTATATACTTCCCATCTATTTCTATAAATATTTATTTACTTATTTTGTGTGCAATTTGCATATGTCATGTATTGTTAATAGATTGGTTGAGCACTAATTTGAAGCTTTTGGTATTATTTTTGTAAATTACAATAAATTTTGCTATATTGATACAATCTATTATGCTCAGCTTATCAAATACATTTATATAATTATTTACATCAATTTGAAAAAAAAAAAAAAAAAAAAAAAATGTAATCTTTTGTTACTCAGGTGCCTAAATCAAATTTGGATCTTTATAAGCATTTTATTTCAAATCATTTTTACAAAATTTAAAATATATATTTTGCATAAATATATTTAGTTCAAAATTTTTTATTTTAAGGATCTTATGATGTATATATCTGGTCTCTAGGTTGTTTAGAACAAACTATTCTATTATTTTACGTTCTTCTTGTATTTCATCAAAGAACAACATTTAAATGAGTGACCATACAACTAAGAGGGCTCTTAGAAAATCCCCAAAACAAGACAGTATCAAGCCTTGGGCAGCATCATTGAGTTTGAGAAAGACATTTGCACACAGATCTCACAAGTCAACCACATTTCTGTGATATTTTTAGATGGACCCCATAAACTATATCACACAAGGCGTGAAGCGATCCTCGTGAATCAGGGGATACAACATTGACTGCGTCCAAAATCACTGCAAACATAGTTATTGAAAATTCCAAGTGCTTAAAAAGGAGCCAAAAGCCAAAGATAGACATCCAAATGTGTCTTCGACAAATAGGATATGTGAGAAATAAAGATCGTTGTTGAAGATGATCCAGGAATCTGAGAGAGAGAACCAGAATTCGTTGCCTGTTGAACACCGCTGTTCCGCTACATTCGCAGATGTGAACCTGATTCAGGTTGCTTGAATGAAAGCCATCATTCCAACTTCAATGCCCTTGGGCTTGCTAAACTACTTCCTATCCAACAAGGCTCCTACTCACTCAAGCTATTGAAGAAACTAGCCACTCACTCGAAAGGCCTTCCTGAAGCCGAATTGCATTTCATACAGCTGCATCGAACTACGCCAGTAAAACAAATTATCCTTATAGTTTGTGAACTGTACATAAGCTAAGCTTGGAATAAATAAAAGACAATGTTCACGACAATTAACTTGAGCAACACCCTGCTTTCTTGGCTCCAATTACATCGTCTTTGTCCGCAAGCTTGATTTTCGTGCCAGGAAGAAGTGGGGAGTTTCCTTGATTCTCATCTGCAAGAAGAGCTTTCTTGCTGACGACCTTGTATATTTCTGATAAAACTGTGAAAAAGGCAGTCTCTACATTCGTAGATTCCATGGCTGAGGTCTCGAGAAAAGATAAGCTTTCTTTCTCAGCGAACTCCCTTGCAGTATCGGTCTCCACTTGCCGCAAGTTGCTCAAATCGGACTTGTTACCAATCAACATGATCACGATGTTAGCATCTGCGTGTGCCCTAAGTTCTTCTAGCCACCTTTGTACATGATCGAAAGACTGTTGTTTTGTGATGTCATAAACCAACATTGCACCAACAGCACCCCTGTAGTAGGCACTTGTGACAGCCCTATACCTGCTCCACACAGTAATTGATGAGTAAACAGAGTAGTTCTAAAAGATTCTAAGTTCATTCATCGAAACGTACAAGCGATTCAGACAACAAATTCAAGTTCTATAAAAGTCTGGTAAGTAGCTGATCAAACTACTGCATGCTGCATTCGTCCTAGATTTCCAACACGCTTCAGATATACACTGGATAAGAGTGATTTTGAGACAGGTACCTGCACGTACAACTAATGAACAAGCAACAATGCCTTCAAAGAAACGCACGATTGACCTTGTCACTACAATAAGTCAAGGAATTATTTCTGAGGTTGAGAGATAAGAGCGCACCTTTCTTGTCCTGCTGTATCCCAGATCTGGGCTTTAATAGTCTTGTGGTCCACAACAACGGTACGCGTCTGGAATTCAACTCCAATTGTAGCTTTAGATTCAAGACTAAACTCATTGCGAGAGAATCTAGCAAGCAGCTGTGACTTTCCGACTGCCGAGTCTCCAATCAGTACCACCTTGAACACATAGTCTATCTTATTGTCATATTCATTGTACGCATTCGCCATGTCTGATACACTTGAATGCTGAAATTTGCTTATTGGCAGTGAGACAGCGAGCGTGTTGTAGCACTGGTAGGTCACATTACAAGCATCACTCGTCGGTCTCCACGTCTCTTCTAAACCAAGCCTTCTTGGTAATCCTGAACGCCAGACTCCAAGTAAAGTCCAGAGTACCAACTCAGCCAAGGGAAACAATAGGAGTTCTCAGACCTAAACATGACCTAAAGTAACTCGCACACACAACACCTCAAGGAAAAGAAACAAATAGGATTCCAAGCAAGAATAACTTCCAATCACACCAACCCTTAAACACATACCAGCTTTATTATACCTCAAAAACTGCTCCTAAAATCTCAACCCCTCACACCAAGCCCTACCTCCTCTCCACAAAAAATCTCCCAGGATCCGTAGAAACAGTGCATCATCACTCACCGCAAGCCCTAACCCCTAGCACAGAAAACCCAAGGGCACATACTGAAAATCTACTCCGTCACCATAACACAAAAACTAGGTCTCATCAGTTCAATCCGCTCTCCACCCACCCAGCATCCGCAATACCAAAACCGCGAAAACACCCCCGCGTGGAGTTGTGCGCACTGTGAGCTCGATACGAAACCAAATGGCGAGAGACGTACCTTGAAATGACGAGAAGGAGATGGTCTCGGCGATGAGCACAGGGAAGGCAGGGTGGGAGGAGCGGGAGGGTATGGATCTTGGGCAGAATGAGGGCAAGTCATGCAACACGGCAGGCAAAGTGGCGATGGAGGTGAAGGACGAGAAATGGTGCTCCTCCAGCCTCTCCTCAGCAGTAGCACAAGCTCTTTCCCGTGCTGGAGTCTTGTGGAGCCTCGTTCTCTCCAGGGTTCCCCACCCGTTCCTCATGTTCCCTGGATCAGGGACGAGGATAGAGGAGGTCATTACCTTATTCTTCGATATTCCTAGAATCATTATTTCTGTCTCATTTCTGTCTCATTGAGCTTTCTAGCTGTTGTTTCTCATTATATATATTTTAAAATGGAATGTTACATAGACTCAGGCTTTTATTAAATTGATCAATCCATCCTAACCATCATGAGAGAAAAAAATTATCTCTAGATTCATTTCTCCACTACCAGATTTGAAACCAATGAAAACCAACCACATTCATCATGATTTCCATATTCTTCATCATGGATAAATAAATTTAATAAAAACCTAGGCCTATTTAACATTCTTCTCTATAAATTATATGTGTATAATTATATCACAAATGTCAAAATTCATACCAATGCCTACTTTATTTCTCTCTCTTTCTCTCTCTCTCATCCCCCCATTGTGCACTTACATGATATCCATCCAAGTTTCATTTACTTCTTTTGTGATAACTTTAGTAATACATTGAATTATAGTAGTTGTTTTATAAATCCATTAGCTATGAGTACATTTTTAATTTATGGCCAAAATTCACACAGTTATATTCTTGTTTAAGGGTGAATAATTGCCTTTGGTATATATATAATTTTTATTATGGTAAAATTTGAATTCTAAAAAAAAATTATTTGATGGTCTTTTATGTTAATAAATAATAGGCTTTTATTTCACAGAAAACCACATTATCTACATATTTTTTCATATTTTCATTCAAAATTTAGAAAAAAAATTCTCAATGTCACTTAATGTACAATGGCATCTATATTTATTATTATATTAATGTATAATTATCAAATAAATACAAAGAAACTATATTTTTAATCATTTTATTAAAAAAATCTATAATAAATAAATAAATAAATTCTTATGAAGATTTTTTCATGATACCTTTGAAATGTAAAAAATTATTCTTTAGAATTATTCTATATTCACTTTATATTTAGAATATTAATAATCATTCTACCAATTATAATCAATTTATTTTATTCTTATTTGAATTGATATGTCTTTGACTAATTATCTAATCAATTGATGATAAACTAATTATTTAAAAAAATAATATTTGAAATTTGAAGAAAAACATAATTTATTCTAAAATAAATAAAATTTTGTAGTATCAACTTAAGCTTTGGATGGTAGTTCCAACTTAAATGCATTATTAAGGAAATATTTTTTTGTCAAAAATTAACTCCCTAATTTATACACAAATTTAATGTATTACTTTTAATTCTACAAACTTTTTTATATTTTCTATTGTTATTTATAATTATGTGCTAATATATATATATATATATATATATATATATAATAGATTTATATAGATTTATGTTCTTATATATATATCTATATATATATATATATATATATCTAAGACATATAATTCTATATTCATATTATATTCAAATAAGTGTTTTCAAATACATAGAAATTAAAAAAATCTTAAATATAAAATAAGACAATTAAAAGTAATAAAAAAATTAAAGATGATCTCAACTTGCTTTTATTATCTAATTAAAACATCATATAGAATATTTTTTAATAATGACAATGCTTGTATAACATGCATCCAAGTTGTAAAATATTTTGTATAGTCAAAATTATATATTGCGATAAACATGTGAAAAGAAAATATAAAAATATGTAAGTAAAAAATATAATAAAAGATTAAAATAATTTATAAAATATTAGGTTATTAGAATTGTTATTGCTAAGTAAGATGAAACTAAAAAATATTAAATTAAGATTGTAATATATTTTAAAAATATAAGACTAATGATGGCCTTAAGTTACTTTTATATATACTAGTTAATAAAAAGACAATATGTAAACTTTTTAAGGACCACAAGGCTTGTTAAACAAATAATTTAATTACAAGATTTTTATATAGTAGCTTCTAAGAAATAAAAAGCTTTATAGAAAATTTATTATAGCCATATATCTTAGTTTTATATCTAATTTAGTTTTGAAATAATTATTTGATAAAAAATATAAAAAATAAAAATTATTATCTATTTTAATTTATTTAAACAAAGTAGGTATTCAAAATATATTCTTTCCTATTTTAAAAGAAATTCTTTAAAATTAATTAGATTTTAATTTATTAATTAAACTACTAAAGTTAAAAATCTAGTAAATCATATTTTAAATTAATCTTAATTTATATTCTAGAGTATTTAGTAAGTCTTTTAAAAATTAATAGTTTTTCATATTTAGAAAAAAATACCATTTGATTCTTTAATTATTAATAAAAGACTATTTCCTATCTTATAATGACATATTTACTATATTACTTAATTTAGCATCTGCTTCTATAAACATCAACAATTACATAAAAATTTAATTCTAAGTTTTAATAGCAAATACAATAAATTTGACCATCTATTAAAAACATAAATTATTTTTTAAAGTTTTTATTTTAATTTTAATAATGTGAAGGTTGTAACAAGGTAATTAGTTTATTTAGTAATTATTCAAATTATAATTTTTGAAATAATCATTTTAGTTATTAATTATTGATTTTACTAAAAAAAAATCTACTAAAAATTTATAAGTATTCATAAATAAGAAATTATTTTTAATTTTTATTCTTTTATTTGTACCAAATTATTATTATAATTACTTTTTGATCTTATTTAGATGATTTTTTTAAAGTATATATATATATAGATTGATTTAGACTCCTTTGCATGAATTTTGAATGGCTTCCACATATACTCAATAATATTATATTTATGTAAATATACAAGAAATTTAATTTAATTAATAAATAATTTTAATTCAAGTTATTTTTTTTAAATTCTTAAATTAATGAATATTTTTAATAAAAAGAAAAGAATTTTCTTTTTGGAATACATAAATATTTTTTTAAAATTTTAAAAATAAATTATAAAATAAAATATACTTTGAATAAGTTGAATAATTTAATTAAATATAATATCTAAAAATATAATTTAAATTCTTCTAATTAAAACTTATCTTATGATTTATTGATCTTGATATTATAATATATAAATATTTTCTATTTATAATCTTAAATCAAGTTTGTGCTTTTTTGAATATATCAAAAAGATTTTTTTATACTCACGTTTTATATTTGTCACGGCCATAATCATGTAAGCTAATAATTACATATAGAAATAGGTAGAAGTAAGTAAAAGTAGATAAAAGTAAGTTAATTCTATAATATTTAATATAGAAGCTTCTTAGAAACTTCCTAGACGCTGCTTTGACTTCATAGGTGTCTTTAATTGACTTTTTGGATTAGAAACGTGGTCAACAAGTTGGCCATGTGCCACACATGTTGTTAGCTTGAAGATCAAGCTAACTATGTGGCCCACACGTAGAAAAACTTACCTTGTAAGTCAAGGCATGTGTCCTACAAAGTCAACACATATTGGAGGTCCTATAGAACGTCGCCATGTAGCTCCTAATTAGATAGTATATATAGAGACAAGAGTGAAGGCTTCTTCACTCTTGTCAACTCCTTTCTTGCTTCTAGTCTAGTTTCAAGGGTCTCTAGTTTTCTTGTCTTTTGGCAATAGCCATTCTAGTTTCTCTTTTCAATATACATACTTATTATTCATATTTTGTTACTTTTCTTTGAGTGAAGGCTTACTTATCTGAACTATTTTTTCATCGAGTTCTTGTCCTTGACAGATTGACAAGAGTGCACTTACAATATCAGAGCTTTGTTTTTCTTGAGTAAGAGTGGATTACCCCTTTCTCTTGACAAGGCATAAGCGTATTAGAAGTTTACGGATTATCCACTTCTAAACTGATATTGTTCTTAGTATCTTCTTTGTTATCAAGTCTTTCTTTTCTTTTGTCTTGAGCAGTATCAAACAAATTTTTCTTCTTAGTGTCATTATGGCAGAGCTTGTTGAAATGAAGAGTGCAATGGCACAAATGCAAGAGCAAGTGAGGGAGTTAATGCTTGCGATGCATCAACTCAATTCACCAACACATGAAAGAACAAGAATAGCAGAAAGTGGGGATATAGAGATGATCAGAGCTGCTTCAACATCTACAACAAATCACGTTCCTTTTCCAATTGTACAACACCCTATAAGCACTAGAGAACCAAGAATTGCCTTACCCGAGAAATTTGATGGTACGTGATCAAAGTTTCGAGGATTCATCAATCAAGTACAATTGGCAATTGAACTTCAACCGCAAAGCTATCCAACTCTAGGATCACAAGTCAGGTTTATTGGCACTCTACTTTCTGGTTCTGCATTATCGTGGTTTTCGTCTTTTCTTCAACAACGAAATCCAATATTGGACAATTTGGAAGCTTTTTTGGCAGAGTTTCGATCTATGTATGGTGAACACGATGCAACTCGTGTTGCAACAAATAAGATCCGAATTCTACGACAAGGAAATCGCTCAGTAACAGTGTATGCTTCACAATTTTGACAACTTGCAATTAACATCAAGTGGGATGATGCTGCACTCATTAGTCAATTTCTTTATGGATTGCAATACGAAGTAAAGAAATTGATGCTCAACTTACCTGATCCTCAAACTTTGAGTCAAGCAATCGATTTTGCGATAAAATGTGATAATCGACTTTTCAAATTTTGATCTGAGAATCATTCACGGGAACCTCAACGTTATTACTCAATGGCAACATCAACATCTTTGCCAAACGTACATTCGAAAGTAGGAGACATGCAAATTCACGCGGTACGTTTTAAACCCCTAACTGAGCAAGAAAAGATTCGTCGTCGTCAAGAAGGATTATGTTTATATTGCGGAGAACCTAAGCACACTGCTCAACATTGTCCAAAGAAACGACGCAACTATAAAATGAGGGGTACGACAGTCAAAGAAGACAACATGTCAGAAAACGGATTCGTCCAGCTACAATAGGGACCGTGCAGCTGGAACCTTGTACAATTCCTAATGAAGGTCCTATCCT